CTCTCTCTCTGTCTCTCTCTCTGTCTCTCTCTCTGTGCACGTCTCTCTGTGCGTCTCTCTCTGTCTCTAGGTGTCTCTCTCTCTGTCTCTCTCTCTTGTCTGTCTCTCTGTGTCTCTCTCTCTCTCTCTCTCTCTCTCTGTCTCTCTCTCTGTGTCTGTCTCTCTCTCTCTCTGCCTCTCTCTTTGTCTCTCTCTCTCTGTCTCTCTCTGTCTCTCTGTGTCTGTCTCTCTCTCTCTGTCTCTCTTTGTCTCTCTCTGTGCACGTCTCTCTGTGTGTCTCTCTCTGTCTCTCTGTCTCTCTCTCTCTTTGTCTCTCTGTCTCTCTCTGTGCACGTCTCTCTGTGTGTCTCTCTCTCTCTCTGTCTCTCTGTCTCTCTGTCTCTGTCTCTCTGTCTCTCTCTCTCTCTGTCTCTCTTTGTCTCTCTCTCTGTGTCTCTCTCTCTCTTGTCTCTCTCTCTCTCTGTCTCTGTCTCTCTCTCTCTCTGTCTCTCTCTGTCTGCACGTCTCTCTGTGTCTCTGTCTCTCTGTCTTTGTCTCTCTCTTCTGTCTCTCTCTGTGTCTCTCTCTCTTGTCTGTCTCTCTGTGCACGTCTCTCTGTCTGTGTCTCTCTCTCTCTCTGTCTCTCTCTGTCTGTCTCTCTTTGTCTGTCTCTCTCTGTGCACGTCTCTCTGTGCGTCTCTCCTTTCACCCGCGGCTCCAGTCAGTCGTCTTTCTTTATGAAGAGTCGTTCTGTCTTTCCTCCCGTGGTTTGAGTTTTCAGTTTCATTATCTGTGCACTAAACTCAGGTTTATTAAACTCTCCGTTAAACCATCCTCCATCAAAACCCAAACCAGGATTAAACCAGGCTAAACCCTAAACCAGCTAAACCAGATTAAACCAGGATTAAACCAGGATAAACCAGGATTAAACCTTAAACCAGGATTTAAACCAGGATTCTAAACCAGGATTAAACCGATTAAACCAGAGATTTATCTAAAAAGGTCTGAAACCAGCTCTTTGGTAAACCAGGAGTTTAAACCAGGATAAACCAGGTAAACCAGTTAAAACCAGGTTAAACACAAACTTAAAAAAAAAAAAAAAGAAAGAAAAGAAAAGAAAGACTAAACCAGATTAAAAAGCAGGATTTGCCCCCATTTAAACCAGTTAAACCATGGATGTTACTTTTATTAAACCTTCAAACGATTAAACCTGATTTAAACCAGAATAAACCAACTTTTGGATTAAACCAGGCTTTCTGCCACCGATTATAAACCAATACCAGGTTCCTAAACCATTAAACCAATAAACCACTAAACCGATTAAACCAGGAGGTGAAATAAATAAACCAGGATTAAACATAAACCAGGCAGGACTGTTTTCCTGTTTTCTAAACCATTTTAAACCAGGACTAATTAAACAGGACTAAACCAGGACTAAACCAGGATTCTAAACCAGGATTTAAACCAGGATAAACCAGGACTAAACCAGGATTAAACCAAGATTAAACCAGGATTAAACCAGGATTAAACCAGGATTAAACCAGGATTAAACCAGGACTAAACCAGGATTAAACCAGGATTAAACCAGGACCTAAACCAGGATTAAACCAGGATTTAAACCAGGACAGGATTAAACCGGACTAAACCAGGATTAAACCAGGACTAAACCCTAAACCAGGATTAAACCAGGATTAAACCAGGACTAAAAACCAGGATTAAACCAGGATTAAACCAGGATTAAACCAGGATTAAACCAGGACTAAACCAGGATTAAACCAGGATTAAACCAGGATTAAACCAGGATTAAACCAGGACTAAACCAGGTCTAAACCAGGTCTAAACAACATGACACTAACAGTAGGTGGACATAATTTAAGGTGATCTCATATAGAAATCATTTCTCTATCGATAATATGTTTAATATGGCTAAGGAAAGACTGGGCTTTTTATTTTCTTTTAGCAGATAAAACATCTTCGTCTTTGTTTCTCTACAGTAAAACAAAAGTCTGTTCGTGGAGACTTGGGCTCAACAAACAATCTGAAGAAAACAAACATGAATTTTCAGGATGTTGCTGTTACGTTCGTGTAGTTTTAAAAAGCACGACAATATCAAGTAATCCAAAGTATTCAGATTACATTACTCACTTGAAGTAATTTAATGGATTACGTTACAAATTACTTTTTGGGGTATGTAATCTGTAATCTGTAGGGGATTACATTTTAAAAGTCACCTTCCCAACTCTGCATCCATAATCATTTCCATGAACTGAAGTCATCTATAGACCATATTTTTCGGACAATAAATTGCACTTTTTTTCATGGTTTGGGTGTTTCTTGCATCTTACACTCTGGTGCAATTTATATATATATTTTTTTTTTTACACTGACACCTGAGAGAGGCTCTAGTCTTGTGTGTGAGTATCTGCTGCTCCTGTTCCTCCTGTACCACTGTCACTTCACTCTACTGCGCATGTCTCCTGCAGAAAGAGCCTCTGTTTTGTCTGGATCATGTCAGTCGATCGCACCGTTACTTCTGCACCACTGAACAAGTTAACATTTAAACAAACTTATAAAGACGACTGAGAAGACTGAACACAAATGCCCCCCAAAAACAAAATCAGATTCTGCAGATTACAAACTGCAAGTCGTGAAATCTGCAGCTGAAAACGATAATCGAGCAGCAGAAAGAAAGTTTGGAGTGAGAGAGAAACTTGTGACACCGGGAGGATGAACCATGAAACTTTCCTGAAGTCACTGGATGGATGGACAAAGTCTGGACTTCAGTGACACCGAAACCATCCTGTCGGGATTCAGAAAGACCCGAATAATTCTAACTGGAACTGACGCTGAGTCTGACGACAGCGACACAGAAGAGGAAGCGACGCTCTGTTTACCTCCGGAGGTCGAGGCCGAGTTGCTCAGAAGTGACACCGAGGATGAAGAATTGAATGGATTTAAAAAGCCTCTATAGTCAAATGAATAATCTCAACTTAATTTATTATCTACTTAAAGGCAAAAAACACACACAAACTTTTATTTATATACACATCTAAATAAATTCAGGTGTTAATGTGTTTTCTTCTCTGTGATTTGTAATCTTGTATTTAGACCTTTTTCACAACGGCCGGAAGTGTCCCGCTGGAAGTTTGTGGAAGTTCCGGTTAATGGTTTTCTGTGGCAAAAAGTGTGTGTAAATGTGTGTGTAAATGTGTGTGTAAATGTCTGGCGTATTTTCCAGCAGCTTCATAAATCTGCCCCATCACCAAATCTTCAACCAGCAAGGTCCACAAAGGATAAACAACTTGACTGATTCTACAATTAAAATTAAAAAATCGATTTCATAATGTAGATATTTGCAGAGACAGAGAGATTCGTGCAGTTTAAATACAAGACATGTTAATTCGAATTTATTTGTTTGTTTGGAGGATAAGCTTCTTGAGACGTCTCACCATCTCGTTTTCGAGGGGGTCCTCACAAGTCACAACAACAGAGACGTGATCTGTGAACATCTGGAGCATTCAAACTCCTCAAACCTGTGCAAATATCGACATCATGAAATAGATTTTTAATTTTAGTTCTAGAATCAGTCTGAGTGAACACGTTACTTATTAATGAATTACTTACTACTTCTGTTTTATTCATGACGATAACGTTAGTTTAGCTCAATGTGTCACTAATGCGTCATCTTTGTTTTCCTTTAAAGTTTTCATCTTTCTTCTCTTGATCGTTGTGGAAAAATTGTTCATGTTAGAATGTTTATCCTTTGTGGAGCTTGTTGGTTGAAGATTTGGTGATGGGGCAGATTTATGAAGCTGCTGGAGAATACGACACACATTTACACACACATTTACACACACATTTACACACACATTTACACAGATGTTTTGCCGTAGGAAACCATTAACCGGAAGTGACGTTTACCATCGCAGCACTTCCAACTGTTGTGAAAAAGGTCTATTTGGTCACATGTTTCAGTGGAGAGGAGAAAATTCAGTTTGTTGACTGGATAAAAGTTAAAAGCTCATCCAAGCTGCTTCTTCAGTTCTGAGTTCACTTCAGTTCCAGAACTGAAGAAGCAGCTTGGATGAGCTGCAAAACGTCTTCAACCAAACTAACTTTTTTCCAGTCGACAAACTGAATTTTCTCCTCGCCGTGGATTCTACCTGGACGACTGAGGGATTCTTCACTCACATGTTTTAGGTCACATGAACCCATAACCCTTTAAAAGGCCTCGGTGGAGGATGTGACGTTATACTCCCTGACGAAGACTCCACATGTGTCAAAAGGCGTTGGCTTGTCCCGTGTACCTACTAAAGGACTTTTATTCTAATTCCAACAGAATGCCTCGGACCTTTTGACCGCTTTTGACTTTATCACAGTAAGTTTTTACACTACAAGGCTGGTCGTCTTCACTGCATGTTCACTTTTGAGGCTCTTCCTTGAGGAGCTGCTGTTGTGGACCCTGAAGCTCTCACTTCCACGTCTTTTTCTTTCCAGTTTGGATGCATTTTTACAGTGGTTAACTCTGAGGCAGGCGACACCAGAGAGAGCTTTGTGCATAAAAACACCAAAAACATATTTGGCATCACAATAACAGTTAGTTTTTGAATAATTATTACTGTAGCACTGTAACATTTTATTTAGAATTTCATCATTTCAAAAGGTAGACACATTCTCTGAGATCTGAGCCTTTTCTTTTCTCTGTGATGAGTTTGTAGATAAAATAAGTTCTCACAACGTCTTCTGTCATATAATTAAATATAACATGAACCAAACCAAAAGATCCGGATCCCACAAAGGAGCCGAAAGCCTCATCACGCTTCCACACCAGATTACAGCTAAACAGAGCCTATACAATTCTCCAACTAGCTCCAATTTTCTTTCTTTTAAATGGTTCGAGGCAGTTGTTCCCATTACCTCCACACACACACGGACACACACACACACAGTTGTACCCCCTGTGCACTATCTGTGGAGCCCAGGTGGTACTCTGGCTTGTCTTTAGCCCACGTGCGACTCACCGATGAGGGAGAGCTGTTTGGAGGAGCGCGGCTGCAGGTCCAGTCCGTTCTTGAGCCAGGTGAGTTTGGGCTCCGGGATGCCCTCGGCGTAGCAGTGCAGGCTGGCCCCCACCCCCGGCTCCTGGGCCTGGGTCTCCGGATACACCAGGATCACCGGAGGGACTGCGGGGTGCGGAAAAAACAAACAAACACACACATCATGAACGCGCTCCGTGCACCACCCAGGGCTTTACGCATCGCCGCGGTGGACACGCCAATTTGTATGAGCCGGCAGGACGCTAGCGCAAAACAAGAACCCAACAGCTCCGAGCGGCCGTTTTACACCACCGTTCAAATATATTCAAAAGAAAAGGACACAAGAAAGGAGGATATGAATAGCTGTGAGCGTACGCGCTGGGGAGAGCAGTCCAAACTCACACAGGGACGTGAAAAATAAGAGAAGAGTTTGGCGCGCCGTGGTAAACGCGCGCTTATGTGTTCAGCTCACAGCACGACGCTTCAGCGCGAATAATGAGAAGACGTAGTGAAGAAGCAGATTTAAAGCTCCTATATTACACAGAACCAGAGCTGGAAAGTAATAAAGTACAAAAGTAAAACTACTAGGGGTGTAACAGTACATGTATTTGTGATGAACTGTTTCTGTACAGGACGTTCAGTTTGGTGCAGAGCTGCGCATGAGTGAGTTCATTGAATTTGTGTGTGTTTACATTCCTCCACTACATGCGCAGCTACACACAGGCTCAGCTCTTTAATATTCATGAAGGAACTCGTCTGTGGTTGGGGCAGTGTCATGTCTTTGGGATAAAAGACATCATTTCATAAGGTTCATATTTCATAAGTTAATAAGTCAGTTAAAAGTAATAAATAAGTTAATTCATTGGTAATTAAATACGTTTATTTCATGTTGCCAAACTGTTAAAAATATTTGGGTAAGGTTGTCAGAGTGGGACATCTTCACCATTAAAGATCGTTTTGTTTTTCGTGCAGAGTGAGCGCTCTTGTGTTACATATGATCCGTATAACTTTCTTGTACACGCTGATTTTGTTTCTAACGTTTGAACCTTGGCAAATTTTCGTCTTTGTAAGTATTTGAGAGTTCACAAGCACTTGTTTGGGGCTGTGTGTGTGTTTTCTTTCTTTTCATATGAATATTGGAACTTGTTGCTAACTACTGCAGTAATACACATGTATAAGCTAGCTACTTATATTTGTACATCAAACGTGCTGTGTAGTTGGTAATGTTCATTTCTTTTTCTGTATGTTTCAGTTACTATATTAATGTATCACCACATGCAAGAGACCTCCATAAAACCAGAAAAGTACCCCTTGTGTACGGAGCTTTCTTTATTAGTTCGCTGGCTGTCTAGCTTCACCCAGTCACGTGTCGTGAGGACAGCACAGGCAGTGTTTCCTGCAGCGCTTTATAGTTAGGGCGTCTTGACTAGATCCCTCCAAACCACGTGAATCCTCACAAAACTACCATCCTCACTTTTGCCTTTCGTCAGCACAGAATCTCCGCCCCTGCCCCCCTTCCCTGTCAGCAGATCTGCACTTACTGCAGATAATGTGGAGAAGTTGGTTTTTCTGGCCAAAAATATGAAGCTTGAGTAAAACTTCATGCTGAACTGTTAGTGCTGCACTTTACTTTTTGAAAGGTTTTGTTTACTGTTTACAAGGAATTTGTTTTTTATAATATTTCAAACATTTGTTGCTTATTTGAGAATATTTTTATTTCACTTATTAGTATTACCAAGCAGCACTTTGTAATTATTTTATTTTCCTGTTTGTATAATGTTCAAACAAATACAAATGTACCGAAAATGAACCGAACTGTGACCTCAAAACTGAGGTACGTACTGAACTGTGATTTTTGTACCGTTACACCCCTAAAAAGTACAATACTTAAGTACAAATTTTAGGTATCTGTACTTTAGTTTGCAAATTTTACTGTAGATACCTTTTACTTTGTATTTCACTACATTTGAGAGATGTATTTTAGATCTGGACTGAAAAGTAAAAGTATTTTTCTTTATTGTGTGAGTCCTGCTGAAATGGCTTTGACTTTATTTTTTTAGTACATTTATTTTGAGTTTCTGTCTCAAATTTGAGTAAACCAAACACACCAATGCACAAAAACAATGAGAAAAGAAAATCAAACAAGTAACTTAAAATCAGCTAAATTCTTTATTTAAAATGCATCTTTTGTTTTTGTATTTCATCCTTTGTTTTTGCTTTGAAGTACTTTTACTTTTTGCTCCTTATGTACATTTTTAAACTTACAGGTACTTACTACATACTTTAATACTTTTACTTTCCTCTTGTATCTGCTCCTTTGCTCCTGTCTCTGTACTTTTACTTCACTACTTTACTACTTACAAACGTAAATTCTTCATCCACCACTGCACAGAACCGACTGCTGTGAGATTTTATTCTTACCTTTTTCATTCACATGTTTGAGGAGTCTGTCTGTCTCCAAAACTCTAAATGCTCTGTTCCAACTTGTGATGTCATCATGATGTAGTTTTACAGTTAACATATTTTTTTTACTCGACATGACACTAGACTTGACATGACTTTAAGTTGTTGTTTTTCCTTTTTGTGTGGGAAGTTTGTGAAATCCAGGGCTGAAATGATCCAAGTTATTCTTCCTGCAATGCCATTTGATGACATCACAAGGTGGAAAAGAGTGTTTCCGGTTTGAGAGAAGAACCTAAATGTGTACGGTTTGTGTGTTAAACATGTGTGAACACTGTTGGGCAAGTGACTTTAAACTGTAATGTGTTATTTATGACTTGTTACTGTCATTTCAAAGTAATTTGTTACATTACAATATTACTGTGTTTAAAATGTAAAACATTATAGGACTAATGCAGTACTTTAAGTTACTCTCACCAAAAGAACTGTGAAGATGCTGAACTTTTGCGGATTGAACCAGGACTAAACCAGGACTGTACTGTGGACTGAACCAGGACTGAACCAGAACTAAACCAGGACTAAACTACGACTAAACCAGAGCTGAACCATATCTAAAACAAAACTAAGGTCTAAACCAGGTCTAAACCAGGACTGAACCAGTACTAAACCAGAGCTGAACCAGGACTGAACCATATCTAAACCAAAACTAAGGTCTAAACCAGGTCTAAACCAGGTCTAAACCAGGACTGAACCAGGACTAAACCAGAGCTGAACCAGGACTGAACCAGGTCTAAACCAAAACTAAGGTCTAAACCAGGTCTAAACCACGACTGAACCGAGGACTAAACCAGGACTAAACTAGGACTAAACCAGAGCTGAACCAGGACTGAACCATGTCTAAACCAAAACTAAGGTCTAAACCAGAAACCAGGACTAATCTTGGTCTAGAACTTGGAAGCGCGATGGGGCGTCAGCTGCGGTCCGCCCTGTGGAGCGTGGAGTTCTGCGCTGGTCTCTGGTGTTTCATCGCCGCTGATATCGCGGTGATTTTAGCGAATTTGTATGAAGAAAAACGAAAAACCCACCACTTCAATCCAGATTAAACATGCATTGTAAAACGCGCGCTACTCACATTTGTACCGAGTCAAATATTACATTTTTTTCCCAGTAATGCCACATTACTGCGTTAATGCATTAAGTTACTTTTATATTATGTTACTCCCAACACTGTTTGAATGAAACAAAACAAAACTCCAGGTCTGTTTGTGATGAACAACATTATAACACAGACATAATATAATACAGTAATCACCGTGATATTGGCTCTTTAAAGGTTGTATGGAGGATTTTTTTTTTGTTTCAAACTGTCAGTCAAAGATTAAAATACCATTACAGAGACGCAGCAGCTTTGTAATTATGATGACCAAAAAAAAAAAAAATGAAAATCTATCAACTGTGGACGTGTTGAGGCCAGATAAACATCAGCCAATAGAAAACGAGGCTCCCTCATTTTCTATTGGCTGTTAGGTTGTCAATCAAACTCCCTAGTATAACTGATTCGTCGGAGCGCGGGGATTACGTGGTTTACGCAGCGGTTCTTAGAGGCTTTTTCGAACTGTCGCTTCCTCGCATTTCGCACAAAGTTTGTCGCGACGGCGGACGAGAATCCACGACCGGTTCGCCGCAAAAGAAAGTCCGTTTTTGAGGTCGCTGAAAGAAGAAGAGAAGAGGAAAAGGAGCAAAGCCAAACTGAGGTGATTCTTGGAGATCTCGTCCAGCGATGGCGCGACCGGAGCAGACGAAGGGTCTAAAAACTGACGCGTCGGTCGCTGAATTACTTCTAGACAGGAAACTTCAACAGTAATTCTGAACGCGCACAAGGACTGTCGCTGTATTTCTCTTCCCTTAAAAAAATCCTCTATACAACCTTTAATGTTGTAGAGTGGATAAATGAAGTTGCACAGTAGAAAAGAAGTGGTTCAATATTAATAAACTTTCAATGAATTTTGAAAAAAAGACAAATATATTATCTTTGGAAATAGAAACATCAATAATCAAATGAATATTAAAATGAATCAAAGAGAAATTGAAAAAAGAGTATCTGTTAATAAATGGAGGTGACCCTGGGGTGACCTTGGGGTGACTCTGTGCTTGGCCCCAAACTTTGGATCACTCTCCCCCCTCACATTAAGAGCGCCCCCTTCAGTCGATTCTTTTAAGCCTGGTTTAAAAACACACTTTCACTCAGCGGCTTTTAACACAGTGTGACAACTGTGTGCTCCTCTGAGTGTCTGTTATTGATTTTATTTGCTATTTTTATATTTGCTAATTTTAGGTTGTTTTTTTTTAATGCTTTTTACTCTGTGCAGCACTTTGGACACTTGTGTTGGTAAAATGTGCTCTACAAATAAAGTTGGATTGGACTGGATAAATTGTTGGGCTTTTATACAGATGAAAAACTTGGCTGAAAAATGCAAATAAGTATAATTCAGACAAAGCTCACGAAAACTGTGGCTATAATGAGTAACAGGAAAAGACTTTTACATCAACATTTACTGCATAACTGTCTGTTCCTTCTATACTTAAACTACTGTGTGGAAACTTATACTTATAAATCAAATATTAACTAACAATTTTTCTACTCCAAAAGAAGGTTATCAGGATAATTAATCATGAGAATGACTATGCACCAACAAATCCTCTTTTTGTTAAACTAAAAGTACTTGAGTTTTTCGATCTTGAGTACA